TAGATAAAAATTGGGTTAGTTTAAGGGAGGGGGGAGGGAAGGGTATACAAGGAACCTAGGGGATAAAGGGAAAGAAGGAGCTCAAGAGAGGTAGGACCATAGGAGAAGGGCATTAGTAAGGGACAAAGGGGGGAAATCGGGGCACCTAAAGTGGGAAAAACATGTTGGAGGTGTGAGGCAATGTGAGAGATAAACAATGCCTAGCTAGTTTTGAAAACCAGAGAGAACCATATTACTCCTACAACCTACTGACAAATTATACGTAGCAGATCAAGAAATATATGTCTAGGTAAGGTTTATCTGAGAACAACTGGTCTTTTCCAAGATGTATCTTCATGACACACAGTAATTAAAAGTACCAGACTGGTGGAACTAACCTTCTTGGGTGTTTGGCAGATATACTTTGAGCTCTATAATAATTTGGTCAGAGGGACATAAAGGACAGTTTTTGCTCCTTGCCCTCCTAGTTTGATGAGTTCCAGGGGACTATGAGCATCTCTCAAAATGTACTATAATGGTGGTGGGTCACCTGTCCTCTTGATCAACGAGGCCTAAGAGACCTCACAAGAAGGGCTTGAACCAGCGTCCAGTCTATCTATAAAGAGGAGGGTCAACATAGAGGAATCATTTCCTCCATGCTTCCATCGAAGCCAACCATGGTCGAGTAGGATCTTTGACTTATTTTCACATAGGCGGAACTGGTAAAAGAAAGGAGCCAGGAGCTCCTCCCAAGCCCATGTGACCCCTGAGGAACAGATCCTCAAACGACCTTAACAGTAAAAACAAATTGGTTTATCTGGACCAACTCTATGGCCTTAAACACCCCAAAGGAAAGTATAACCAAAGATTAAAGGGGCCAATATAATTTCTTGAGTCCATATGCATAGCTAAAGGCTACATAACAAACAACAATGTCAGACAGGCGATACCTTCTTTTGACTTGTTGGCCACGGTGGCCAAAGGGATTCCCAGATAGAAATCCAGCATAGAACTGGGAAATTGAACAGCAGACCCCAATCTTATCCAAAGGAATATTGACAACTGATTATCACTAGATGAGGAACAGCTGACCCTCCTTAAACAAAGACCTTTAGATAGGCTGAGTAGATTCACCAGAAGGGCAAGTAGTGGGGAATGGCTGGGGGTGCCGACAACACAGCAGACCGTAGCAGGGATATCAGAGTATAAGGGCTCTAGTGAGGGGCGGGGAGGCCATGGGAGGGTGCTACCTGGGAAGTGGGTATATAAATAAATAAAATTCTTCAAAGCATAAAAATTTTCTCCTTAGTAATTAGTAGATGTGAAACACATTATCACTGAAATCTACCTGATGACTTTATATCCTGCTCAAATGCCAAGGAGCTCAGAAAATAACAGACTGTGACTAGTAATAATCAGATATATAGAGATTAGAAATGCATGTGCATCTTAGTGTCAATTGTATTAAAATGAATTTTTCTGTATGAAACTGTGTATTTTAATGATGAAATGGAGATCTTTTTTAAAGTTTAAAACCTCATTTTGTTTTATGTCTTATAGGGTTTATACAGAGTACAATATTGTATAAATGTATTAATTCAACAGTAAACCTAAAAATTTACAGCCAATTTTTATGCT